TTGATCACAGAGAGTTTTGATATGGTCGTCCAACTCGAGGTTCTCTTTGGGAGGGGAGTGGGGGGAAAATTGTCCGAACATGTTATTAAACACCGTCCGTGTGAGTATTGTCGTATCGATGCTGTTATCGTCGTCTGTTTGCCGTGCTTATCGGCCCAGGCTTTGGCCTACGATGCGTAATCTCGATGCGTTCGCAGTCTGATGAACTGATTGAATCCTCGATGAACTCGTTTGACCAGCCACAACCAGTTGACACTATCGCGCGATTATTATTTTTCAATCATCAGGTGATCGAACAAATCGCAACTCGATATACCTTTCTTTTTAACTTTTTAACTTCCGATATCGAAGCACGAAAAATAAATATATATATATAGCAAAAAACTTTCGCAAGTTTTAGAATTTTCTTTTTGAAAGAAAAGAAAAAAAAAAAAACGAAGCACAATCATCTCGACTTGAGTTATTAGAATTGCTTATTTATAATTAAGATGAACACGAGAGATTATATAATATACAAATATTAGGAAGTATCTATTGTATATCTAAGTGTATATAATTTAAATATTATTTATTCGCTTCTTATTCGTTCGTTCCTTTCGTTCCTACGTTTTTCTTCGAGATGAATGAATCGTAGAAGATCGACGCGTGGTGGATCAAAGATGCATCCAATGAGGATGAACGGAGGTTGGAATATTTAACATATTGTCTTAACTTCAGAATTTAGAGGAAATCGCAAATCGAATAAGAATAAGAATGAAAATTTTTCGAAGAGACGTGTTATACATCGGAAGCGTATATTGAGAGAAACAGATTGCAGACGTGGCGAACGAAATGAAAGATTACACGGTATTGTAGAAGATAATATATATTTTCTTTCAATATATTATTTTATATATATATATATATATGTATATCCTACATACATAAAGCAATATATAAATATATAATCGATATACGACACAATCATTCAAATTAACACATATACGTTATTACAGGCAGGATATGCAATTTTATGCAACTCTTACGAAGTATCTATTATGACTCGTTTCGAATGTTCTTTTATTCTCTTCTTCTTTTTCTTTTTTTTTTTTTTAATATTTCTTTACATTTATTGATGAAATATGTGTATGAATGCACGTGTGCATTTTTTATTTCTCTCTCTCTCTTCTTTTTTCTTTCTTTCTTTCTTTCTTGTTTTATTTTTATTTATTTATTTATTTATTTTTTTTTTATCGTTTAAACTCTTTTCACGAGAAAATCGATCACTAAGAAATTTTACAAAATATCCCGACGTCACGCTCTCGGCTTATTCGTTAAATATACATCATATAATTACGTAAAGTGCATTCATACATCTAATATACAATTTTCTCTCTCTCTTTCTCTCTCTTTCTCACACACATGCACACAAATTTTCCCATTCTTTCTCCCTGTCAGACTCTTTTTCTCTATCTTCCTTTCTGATTTCTTTTCGACTCCTCACGTCTCTTTCTAACTTTTTGCATTTTGTTTCATTTTTTTTTTATCACCTTATTTTGCATACTCTCTCTCTCTCTCTCTCTCGCTTTTCTCCGCCATTATTTCCCGATAAATTATAAAAATATTACGGCAATCGTATAATAATAATCTCTATCCAGTTCCAGTCTATAACCATTGTTACTTTCGCGCGTGTAAACAGATCCTTCCCAATAGAAAGTTTTTCGGGCGAATTATCGTTGATTATAAATATATGTATTTCCCGTATGCGTACGTACGTGTACGTAATACGTATAGAAACGCCCGAAGAGAGGAGCAATTTGATTTCGCCGTTGTTGTTTATCGTTTACTCCTCCATTTTTCCCTAACCTCTTCAACCGGATGTTAACAATCGCCTCCGCAATCCACTTCTCTCGAGGGTTCACGCAGCGACATCTAGAACGTCCTCGAACGAGGATGCTGTTCTCCAGCCTAACGAACAATGGATGTTTTTTCTTTTTATTATTTTTTTTTTTTCTTTGAAATATTTATTGATGAAATATGTGAACGCAACTGCAAAAATTGAAATTCCATTCGATTTATTTGATTTGATGAAAAAAGTCAGATATTTAATTTCATCTCTTAAATAATGAATATGTAACAGCAAAAAAAATGTATATTTTTTTATTTTTGAATTCTCTATTTATATGCAAAATTTTACCAAAATCGATTTTACGTATCGATTCATGTAATATTCTTTGCGCGTGTATTTGATTTTCTTCACTGAAGAAAATCAATCAATATTCGCAGTTACGTCGCAATTACTTCATCAGCGATATATACTTCAAGTATGGATATTTTTCATTTATTGTTGAAACGAATGTTGTTTGAAAACGTGTATAAATTTACGAACGTGTAGAATATATCTTCTGGAACCATGATTCTTCTACTACGTTCAACGAATAAATATTCACAAATATTTTTTTGATCTATCGATCTTTTGATCTACGAATATATACATGTCCCAAAACGGGAAGATATTCCACGCATGTGACGTACACTTTTCAGAAAATGCATCAAGTGCAAATATCTCGAACGTTCTAGAACAGTCGCTAATGGAACTACGACATCCGAAATTCTCCCTTCTACTTTTCCTATTCCCTCCCTAAAACCGTGGCGGTATTATTACTTAAAGAAGTTGATTCTTTGAAGGAAAGAAGATTCCAAGGACAAGCAGGGATTGAAGCAGGGATTACATATCGAGAGATTACGGCTATTTGGAACCGATTTATGAAATTAATTTTCGAGCATATTTTAAATTTCATGATTTTTCGATCGTATATAGCGATCATTATGATAATATGTGATAAGATATTTCATATATCTCGTTCTCATATCATTTTATTTTAATCCTTAAAATTGTTCCTGGCTCTAACATTTCAATGAATCGATAAATGGAATTTAAATCCTCCTTTTACAACACATAACGAAAAGAATACAAAATACTCGAAATATAATTATTATTATATTTAAAGAATAAAGGAAAATTTAATCTCCAATTCGTTAAAAAAGGAAATAGAGAAAATTACATAAATTCTCGATCCATATCAAACAACATATTATCATCACACTTTCGAAGCTGAAACTCAATGGTTCCAATGATCCAAAAAAAAAACATATAATAATACGAAATAATCGATTAAATTCTAAACTAAAAAAAAAAAAAATTATTCAATTTTTCACAATAAAACCTCAACCAATATTATCTCGCAATAAAACTCATAAAAATCTCAAACATCCAAAACATCTTTCGCCTTCCTTCTCCCTTTCGATGTGAATCCACCCTATGTGGACCATTCCAAGTACCGAAGAATGCAGAGAACTCTCTCTCTCTCTCTCTCTCTCTCTCTCT